CCATGAGCATGGTATGTTTTTCCATTTATGAAGGTGTCTTTTGGTTTCCTGCAGTAGTATTTTGCAGTTTTCTTTGTATAAGTGTTTTATGTCCCTATTTAGGTTTATGCCTAAATATTTTATCTTTTGGGTGGCTATTGTAAATGGTATTGTTTTCCTGATTTCCTTTTTGGAGTTCTCTTTGTTAGTGCAGAGTAATCCAACTGATTTTTGTAGGCTGATCTTGTACCCAGCCACATTGCTGAATCCTTCTATTAGTTCCAATAGCTTTCTTGTGGATTTTTTTTTATTTTCAATGTATAGGATCATATCATCTGGGAACAGTGATAGTTTTACTTCTTCCTTACCAATCTGTATGCCCTTTATTTCCCTTTTTTGTCTTACTGATCTAGTTAGTAAATCTCTTCTTGATTATTTGGTTAAGGAGGCAGAGAAATCCACAGGACAAGCCAGAAATATTTCCATGAAAAAAAAAATACAGTTTAAGTTACAATATTTAAAAGGTTAGGTGCTTACTACATAGAACATTCCTGTAGCCATCAGTATAGCCAAGGTTTTACTGTACTGAACACAGCATGCTTCCTAAGTGAGTTCCGAGTGTGGGGCAATTGGGCTGCCTAGTACAGCACTTGCCCTTGCCTGCTTCTGTAACAGAGATGTGTAGATATTTAGTCTAAGCCCAAGCAATGGCACTCACAGTACTGACTTTGATGCCAGACTAATAAACAAACACCAAAGCCACCACACAGCGGCTGTAGCTGCATATTTAAAATGTTATCGGACAGGAATACAAAATCAAGGGATTAGACGTACATTTCCTCTCAGTTTGAGTTGTGGCTAAAAACTGTGAGGCTTGTGGGGGACTCAAGATATTTATGACGGGGTAACATGGGTCTCTTACATATGGAAATAGGGTATTTAGCAGCAATACCCTGTGTAAAAGTAGTCTTCTACCTACTGACAGTTTTTTTTTTTTAAAGTCAAAAATAAAGAGAAGCAAAGAGAACTAAAAGGTTAGGAAAATTAATTAACCTCCTCTATTGCTGTTTTCCATTACAACATTTTTCTCCTGCAGTGAGGTCTTAGGAATGCAACTCCTTCACTCTCAACAATGAAAGAGTCCAAAGATTAGAAATTCTCAAGCACTTCTATTGGACAACCACTGCCTTGAACTATGGCAGCAAGCTGTTATCTGCCAGCCGCATTAAAATGCAGGAGGTCTGCCCAAATGAAATTCTCACCATTCACAAATAAGCCCAGAACTAAGGCACTTCTGCTTCAGTGAACTACTGCACTGCATTAAGAACTCAAGACTGAATACAAAACATGAAGACACTGTTTTCTCTCTAAAATAAAGCTCGGGAAAATGGAAGATTTCATTTATGTTGCTTAAAGGAGAATTAAAACAGAGGAATTTATTTTTTAATTAAAGTAATGTAGGTTTTTGGGGGGTGGGTGGGTAGTAGGAAGATTAGAGGGAACTAGGAGGAGGGTTCCCTGAATAATGAGAGAGTTATTCCCTAGAAACTATTTGGAAGGCACTGGGTGACCTAATTCTTGAGAAAGTCTGGTTAATGTCTTGACTCCTAGCATGCCACATTATTTTCAGTTGTTCTCATTTGGCAGTTAGGAAGAAATTTTCTCCCTTACACCAAGATGTATGTCAAAGGGAAATTTAATCTTATTTGTATAATTAAAAAAAAAACAAAAACTTTAATAATCAAATAGTAGATTCAAACTCCCCAAACAAAAAGAACATTTTATACTAAATAATCAATAAGTGGAAGATCTCACTTTTCCTTCCACAGATCCCTGATTTCCCCATACTGACTCTGAATACAACCCTGCACAGTAACTTTATCACTGATACACATATGATGATACATATAAAAATAAAACCATGCAGCATACAGCTTCACTAAATAATGTCTTTAATAAAACTCAAAGTCAACTTTACCAACAGCAGAAATTACCCTTCAATTTGCAACTTCTAATGAACAGATTTCTCACTCCCTCTCCCTTTGCCCATTGAGAACTGCACCTACTTCCCATGAACATGGTCTGAAGGAGGAAACAAAATCATTATAAGCATACAACATACAACCTTGCTTGCTGAAAGTGAAGAGGACTTGAAGTACTTACTGATGACTATCAAAGACTAGAGCCTTCAGTACGGATTACACCTCAACATAAAGAAAACAAAAATCCTCACAACCAGACAAATAAGCAACATCATGATAAATGGAGAAAAGACTCAAGTTGTCAAGAATTTCATTTTACTTGGATCCACAATCAACACCCATGGAAGCAGCAGTCAAGAAATCAAACTACATACTGCATTGTGCAAATATGCTGCAAAAGACCTCTCTAAAGTGTTAAAAAGCAAAAATATTACTTTGAGGACTAAGGGATTCCTGACCCAAGCCATGGTATTTTCAATATCCTCATACGCATGCAAAAGCTGGACAATGAATAAGGAAGACTGAAGAAGAACTGACGTCTTTGAATTACGGTGTTGGTGAAGAATATTGACTATACCACGGACAGCCAGAAGAACGAACAAATTTGTCTTGCAAGAGGTACAAGCAGAATGCTCCTTAGAAGCAGGGATGGCGAGACTTCGTCTCGCATACTTTGGAGGGAGCAGTTCCTGGAGAAGGACAACATACCTGGTAAAGCAGAGGGTCAGCAAAAAAGAGGAAGACCCTCAACGAGATGGACTGCCACAGTAGCTGCAAAAATGGGCTCAAGCATAGCAACGATTGTGAGGATGGCCTAAGACTGAGCAGTGTTTCATTCTTTTGTACATACAGTTGTAAGCTGGCACTGACTTGATGGCACCTAACAACAACAACAAAGCACATCATTCTAGAAGTGAACAAAAGGCCAAAGAAAAAGATAAGCTTAATGGACCACAACTACCACAGCCTCCACCAGACTGAGCCCAGTACAACTAGATGGTGCCCGGCTACCATCACCTATTGCTCTGACAGGGATCACAACAGAGAGTCCTGGACAGAGCTGGAGAAAAATGCAGAACAAAATTCTAACTCACACAAAAAGATGAAGCTTACTAGCCTGATAGAGACTGGAGAAACCCCGAGAGTGTAGCCCCCCAACACCCTTTTAACTTAGTAATGAAGTCATTCCTGAGGTTCATCCTTCATCCAAAGATTAGATAGGCCCATAAAACAAAACAAGACTATTAAGGGGCATACCAGCCCAGGGGCAAGGACTAGAAGACAGGAGGGGACAGGAAAGCTGGTAATATGGAACCTGAGGTCGAGAAGGAAGACTGTTGACCTGTTGTGAGGTTGGTAGCCAATGTCACAAAACAATATGTATACTGTTTAATGAGAAGCTAGTTTGTTCTGTAAAACTTCATCTAAAGTACAGTAATAAAATAAATTTTAAAAAAGAAAAAGATAGGCTGAGGGACGGGAAGGTAAAACAAAGAAAAAGTAGAAGCCCATTTTTCATATAAAATCTTTCTCAGCTTCACTTGAACACCAAAATGAAAGTATCTGACATCTTTAATTATCAAGATTAATTCACTTTTAGCGGTGAAAGGCTCAGCGTGCCTTTTCAATTATTAACTTGTCAAAGTGTGTCATGGTTCTCCATTGTCCTTGAGTGGGGAATGCTGGTTGCGGTGTGAAGAAGACTGCTAGCTGGCAGCATGACTGCAGCTTCTCAGCTCCTTGGGAAGTGTTTTTGTCCCTTGTTTCCCCTACCCTAGCACTCCTGGACGCAAAAGCTAAAGGTATAAATCAAATTATCTTCCTGGAGGTGCCAAGTAGGCGAAGAAAAAATTATTTGCTTCAAAGCAACTGATGCTGTCACAGTCATCTGATGAATGACAGGATTCCAGTGCAGCTATGTCTGCACTGCAGGTGACAACTGTCTGTTCTCTTTGCAGTGCTGAGGGGGAAGGGAAGAGCCTATGGGTCAGAAAGCTTTGCTCTACCTAAATTTCATATTCATGGACAAGAGACAAGATAGTACCTGATGGAGCCAGCAACAAGCTGGAAAAAACCTCAAGCAGCAAAGCCGAATGCCATGAGCAGGTGATCTGAACATATGTAAGACTCACACTCAAAGCACAGCACAATGGCCCAGTGACCCTATCTGTGCCAACAGAAGAGAGAGTTCTTCCACTGCAAGAATCACAGGGCTTCAAGGCTTCCTATGAACTTCCAGAGATATAATTTCATGTGTATCTGAATAAACCTGATACAGCTAGTCAAATGTTCAGGCTTCCTTTTAATTGCACCCTCTCCTCTCTTATCAAGATGGTTAGGTTCCAAAGACCAGGTCCTTAGGTAAAGTTGGCATTATGCGAAAATGGAGGATGACCACATCAGATTACAAAATGGAGGGTGACTATATCATCACATAACTGCCAAATTGAATCATTACATAGCTGCCAAACCATTGAGAATCATGGCCCAGCTAAGCTGACACATAACCTTAACCATCACAGCCAGCATTATTCTTGCCTCGCACCTCAGCATTCATGTGCAAAATAGTCAGATTTTTTACTATTGTTGTAAATGCAAAATGTCAGATAATGAGATAGTCAATAAGTGAAGAGAAGGTGTATTTATTTTAATAACAAAAGCATGGCTCTATACAGAATTTCATCTTCAAATAAAACTAAATGTTTCCAATTAATTATTTAGTTTCCAACTAAACAATTTCGCTACGACCTATAAACTATTCCAGAATTAATGAGTTTATCTACTCATCAGTTACTTTGAAGGGCTAATCTATAACCTGCCCATGCATCACCCCCATCTCTGCCTGGGCATGTCAGACGTCAAACATTCTCATGAAAAGAAATTAATTATCCTATAAGGCAGCAAATTCTAATTTCAGGACAATTCTAAGAGTTAGAAAGTTCTTCCATATGCTGAGCCAAATCTCAGTGATTTTCAGACCCAGTTCTGCCTTCTGGAGCTACACAGAACACCTTGCATTCAATCTGAATGATTACTTACCTTTAAGCGTTCGATGGCTTCCTCTCCTCCAGGTGTAGACATGATCCTCTCCTGAATACTGGTCACAGATGTTAAGCCCACCTGACTATTGAGTGAGCAGGAAGATGGAGATGAAGTAAGAGACCCGATGGATGCTGTGGAAAAATTGCCAGGGCGTTGATTCTCAGAGGCTAGCAAATACCTATGTTTATTGTTCTGAAAATCTTTCAGATCTGGGAGATAGAAAGAAGGGAAGGCAGAAAAAGTGGAAAAGAGGGAAAGGAGCAGAGGAAGAAAAAAAGACAGGAAGGAACACCAGTGTAAGAAAGAATAGCATTAAAGCAGCAAGACAAAGACACGTTATAATACAAAGACAAGGTATAACTGTTCAAGATGGCAGTTCTAAAACATGTCTGTCTTTAATACTGGTATTCCAGAGAGTAAGAACCACTTCTGAATTTAGAAACTAAAAAATTTCAGTGTAGGTTAACATGGTATCTGATAGGTGATAGCTGGAGTCTCCAAGGATACTGTTTAAGCACTCTTCCTCAACAGCCATGCTACACTCCTTCTATTGCTCCAAGCCTATGAGGTCTTCACATTTACACTAGTCTTACATTCCAACAGTTTGTAACAGTAAGGAAAAAAAGATGATCATTTTTTTAAATCAATAATAATCCCTACCAGCCTGGCCCAGTGTTTTATGGTATTCAGCAAAAATTTCCAAGAAAATGTTAAAATTCTGAGCAATGAGTACAGTGTCCATTGTATAGCAACATTTCAACATGCCAAAAAGAATGTTTTAAGCATGCCTTTAATAAAAAGGAGAGGTATTTGTAGAAATAACAGAACTTTTGTATAAGTCCTGATTAAAATCTCAGGGCCAACTGATTTCTTCAACAGGGAAGAACAATAAGAAAATTAATGAATTTTGGTGTAATTTACATTCACCTATCAGAACAAGCAAAATTTACGGCTGATTATTTGTTAGTTTAAGTAAAGCCTAACAGTATGACCAAGAATTATTAGTAAGCCTAGCTCTCTACTATAAAACGCAAGTTTTAGGGATATACTTGCATGTAATAAAGTCTCTAATAGAACTGTAAATTTTGCTTTTAGACTTAGTTTTGGTAAAAGAATCGCAAACAAACAAATCTCGTTAACTTGCTGCTTGTACTTGCCTTCACTGGTCATCCTTCTCAAGTGAGCACCAGAGGAAAACCGTAGGTAGTGGTGCATTCCTATTTCAGAGTTAGCTCATTTTTAAATTTGAGAAAAATCTACATTGCTTAAAATTCATAACAAAACTAAGTCTTCCTTAAAGGACATGATACGAGCCAATACAAACAGTAAGCAATAAAATATTATTAGCTCTCTCTGAGTCCACTCATCTCTACTACTTAATCGAAGCCAGTTCTTGAAGCCCCTTAAAACCAGTGGTTGCTTCAAGACAGTTTGAAAACCACCATCTGCAAATATACAACATAGGAAAACAAGCAAAGAGGCATTTTTAAAAGGGGGCTAGGGTCTGGAACAAAAAATAAGCCACCAGGTAACGGCAGCAAGGTGGGAAAGAATAGGATAGACAGCATTTAGATGGTCCAATTGACACATGCAAGCCCTGAAAATAATTAGAGTAGATCAACATGGATATTCAGAACTAGTCAGGGCTCCTTTCCTGCAGGGATACAGAATTAAAACTTAACCATGCATGGTTGTTTGGGAGATGCCACAGCGGCTCAACAGAGTTAGCCAACAAGCTCGTAGCAGCAACACCTTGAGCACAAAAGCAAGAATAAGACGGCGTCTTTTCCACACCAGTAATGTTCAGCTTTGGAAATCTCAGACAGAGCTGTTCCAGTCCAAGAGTCACTTCTATATTAGGACATTATACTGCCATCAAGGCTTACCCTCATCACAGCACCCAGGTCTATGTTTGGCTTCCCTCATGTATTTGCTCATTGTCTGCCAAGCCTCATTACATGCCCTACTGCAGAAGTAAGCAAATAAAAATCTAAAAATTAACAAAAAAATCAAGATTCTTCATTTCGTCTAAGACAATAGTCCTTCACAATAACCTAGTAAGTTATTTTAAAAGAAATTATTTTCTCACTAACTTAATGATGCAGATGGAAAGAATAATAATGTGATCCTTTATAAAATGTACCCAACTTCAAGCACACATCTAGATTAAGTTTTTTTTAATTTGATTTGTAATTTATGAAAAGGAAAAAAAATGTTTATTTAACCATCAAGTAAACTCAGGTCCAGGATATGGAAGAATCCAATTTAGCATAAGCACAGGTGGGTGCTTACCCAACATGTACAGAGCTATGACATCACAGATAATTTGGCAAACTTAAAAGTGACTGTTTTTAATTATATACACCCACGGTGAAGTGAAAAGAATTTTTCTATTAAATAATCAGTCCCTGAAGGGAGCAACTCAAGAGCCAAAAAACTGTTAGTGTAATAAGGATTACAAGCAAGGGCTCTGAGTTAAACTTTCTAACCCAACCACATAGAAACCACAGAATCTTAGGTAATCTAATCACTCCAGGCCACAGTGTCCTCATTAGTAAAAGGACACAATAGAAACTTTTTCAGGGTCACTGAAAGAATTAAATGAGATAATGTATTTATGGTATCTAGAAACAGGCCTGGTACATTGTAAATGCTCAATAAATGCTAACTGCTATAATCACTGTCATCATTGCCATCATCATTGTCATCATTATCATCTATGGCTTTGGATTTAATCATATGGGAGGAAAACTGAAGTAGAAAAAGCAAGAGATTCTTAAGTGTCTTAACTGTATTCAAGCCACAAACCAAAACTCAGCAAAGACTGCTTTGCTAAATGGCGAAGGGCAAAAATAGGATCATTCCTGATTCTACTGTATGCTCCGTCTGGGATTTCCCTGTAAGGATTGCTGGCATGCAAAGCTCATTTTAAGGCTGATCCAGCAGAGGCAGATTAGCAAGTCAGAGTACTGGAGATGACCAATACATGAAATACACACATTTGCCTCCACTTCCAGAGTAATCATCGATCAATGGATCAACTGAAGGTAAGCAGGAGGGAAAATACAAGAAGGGTCAAAGTTCAGGTTCAGCAGTGACACAGATAGGGAACAGAGCAGTACTTGGCATTTGGAGAAAGATGAAAAAATTCACACTTGAATATATTATCATTTTTACTAACTGTATTTACATAAACTCAGGAATTAATCAGGAAGAACAACTAAACTAGAAGAGGTCTTAAAAATCTTATGGGAAGTTCAAAGAATATAATCTTAATTTTACACTAAAAAAACTTTTTAAAAAAATGCTTTATTAAATAAACCCATATCCTACCATGGTCAATCCTACCTGAATAATCTATTTTACTCAAGAGAACTTCTGCTTAGACATTATACAGGCAGATTACTAAGGTTAAAAAATGCATTTTAAGACAATGTTGTAAAACAACACTCTCTGGCAGTCTAATTCTTGAACTTGATAGGAAGTAGATTTTTTCCCCTCCATATGTTTATAGAGAAGGAAGCATCCAATCATTTTTTTTTTGGGGGGGGGTGTTATTCAAAGGTGAAATCTTATTTGAAAGTAGAATCAAATGGTGGGTTTGTTACACATACAGTGCTGCTACTACACTAATCCAGAAAAACTCATGACACGAAATCAAAAATTTCAAGTGATATTTTTATGAAGTGGTTGATTTCTCAGTTAGACTAAGCTTAACGTTCCAAATAAACATCACTGGTGATCTAAAACAGGATTCTAATAAAACTCCAAGAAGTGACATATTTATATTTTAAAAGCTCATTTCATGAGTTCAGTGAGTAGTGTGGCTGATACTACATAAAGGAATTCTGAGATCATTTTCACTGGTTTTTTAAGAAGAAAGGAAACCTTTCACTACCATCTAGCTTCATCAGGTCCTGAAATTTCTTAAGTTTCCTTTAAACTAGGATTAGATTTTCTGTTGATGCTTAATCCACTTACTATCAATAATATCTCCCAGGCCCTGAGCACGAAGAAGGTCCTTCAGTCGTGTCACCTCCTCCTTTAATTCACGAACCAGTTTGGCATTGGGGTCCTCGTTGATAACAGCATTGCATTTAATTTGTTTTGCACGATCAGCATATCTAGATCCGAAAAGAAAATTTCCTTTTGCCGTTCCTCATGTGGTCTATTCCTTATACGTAACATACCATTAAATTATAAATCAAACATCCTGAGTATTTACATGTTTTATGAACCTTGATAATAATATATTTGTCAAAAGATATAAGGTACCTTATAAACAATGAGGAAAGAGGCTCAGGTGAATTTAAGTGATTTGCCCAAGATCATTCAAACCCACTCTATCAAAAGTGCCTTTAATGGGAGAAGGGTAGAAAGTTTCAGATTAAAGTAATGGACCCCATTCATATATAAAAATATTTTATTAATGAATATTCTCTCCGTAATATTTCTTTTAATGCTACATGTACTCATAATTGTATTATTTTTACTACTTGAGTATTTCTATAATGACAAACACTACAAGAAGGGGAGACGTTTTATAGAAATGACTATGATAGGAAACTTGATTCTAAAAGTTATCCAAAAATCTTACCTCAGCAATTCTAACATATTTTCTATAAAAAAGTTTCTGCCTTCCCCAATGAAACTGAAGACTATAAACAAATTCCACTATAATAAGAATCCCTTTTTTCTCACGTTTTCCCTCTTATGAGAAGGATCAATCATTATTTACATAATCAACTACCCATACAACACGAGAAAATTCACTGCTAACAAAATGATATATGACGACATTTAGCTATCAAGATCAATTTAGAGTACCTCAGAGTACTCAAAGTTTCATCATAGTTGATATCTGCGGGGCTCAGAGCAGCAACCATTGCAGTCCGAGAATTGCCACCTGAAAACATGAATCATGATAATCTCAAATCACTCATTGCAGAAATTAGAACCTTACTGAATGTGTCAAATTTGACAGCACAAACAATCTCAGATCTAAGATTTATTCAAAAGTCAACAAAATTTCTTGAATGTCCACATGCCAGGCACATACTCAAATTTCAGTGTCTAGATCTACAGTGTCCAGTTCTCCTCCCACTCTCTCTTGAATCCACTCCAATCAAGATTTCAGACCCTCCATTCCACCAAAACTGCCCTTAGAAAGTCACTGCTGGTGTTGATAAGCCCTACAGTCCATTCTCAGTCTCTTCCTTCAGCAAGGATCAGACATAGTTGATCACTCCCTCCTTCCTTCTTGATGATGAAGGAGAAAAAGAGGCAAAGGAACAGTGAACGAAAAGCAGTGACCTGAAGGTCCAAAAACATCAGTGTAAGAAAGAGTAAACCCAAACAAAACCAAACCCATTGATGTCGAGTCGATTCCGACTCATAGTGACCCTATAGGGCAGAGCAGAAGTTCCCCATAGGGTTTCCAAGGAGCGGCTGGTAGATTCGAACTGCCAACCCTTTGGTTAGCAGCCAAGCTCTTAATCGCTGCACCACCAGGGCTCCAAAGAGTAAGGGTTAGTAATGTCTGATTATGTGCACCTCAAAGGAGCACAGAGTTTTGAAAGAGGAAGAAGGAGCAGGTGTGGGGAATCAGGAAGACATCTAGCCTACAGTTCATGTCCTGAAGTAGAGGAGAACTGGGAGAAAACCTTGATATAAAGGTGAGCAATTATTTTAAATCAAGAGTAAAAATGAAAACAGGCAAGGAAACTCTCCAGTTAGCAACAAGATCTAGAGATCAGTCTTTTCCAAATGAGACATACAAAATAATTAACCACAAAAGGTAATTGGTAAACAGCTTTAAAAAGATAACTATAAAGTGAATTTTTACCACTGGTTAGATCAAAGGAATGTACCTAGATTTTCCCGAAGGAGCCAAGTAAGTACAGAATCCCTGTATGGAATAAAATCAGTTTTCTTCTTCTTTTTACTCTATGAAAGAGAAAGAAATGGCGTTAGCATTGTTGGGGGTGGGGGGAGGACTTCACATGAAAGGCAAACAAGTCTGCAATTCCCAAGCAAATCAAATTACAGTAGACCCTCTCAATGTTCAGTTTAACATTCACAGTTTCAATTCTTCACAATACCCAAAGCTCACGAAATAAAGTAATTTTTTAACACTTTATTTTGAAAAATTTATAACATATACAACAGGTGAGAGAGTAGTGTAATGAGCTACCACACACTCAGCATGTAGCTTTAACCATTATCAGTGTTTTGACAATCGTCTTTCAATTATCCTCCATTTTTTCCTGAACCATTTTGAAATAAGTTGCAAACATCATGTCCTGTTACTCCTAAATATTTCAGCAGACAAGGCCAGTCTTTTACACACTCACAGTACAATGACCAAATTCAGGAAATTTACATCAGTACAATATTATCCTGTCCTTATAATATTTTTTATAACTGTAAGTGATTTAAAGAAAATCCAACATTTCACCTATAAATATTTTTCTAACAGTTTAAAAAAAAAAATCACAAGACCATTATATACTTAACAAAATTAACAATAATCTCTTCATATCATCTAATAACCAGTCCTTCAAACAATAATTTTAATTTTTGCAGAGGGACAAATATCCTGTGCATTCCACATTAGGTATGTTGGAGCAAGTCACTTAATATATTTACTTGGCCAAACCCCCAAATCATTAAGTGGGTTGTTGTGCATCTTATAACTCTTGTTCAGTAATGTACTAAGTTTTTTTGAAAATAAATTATGCCCAAAATAAATTTAACCATTAGAACTAGGGCTAAAAGTGAAAAGGTCTAAGAAAGTGATATGATTTGCTAATCTGGAGATTTGTAAAGATTGCAAGATGAATTTTCTGTATACATCAAGGGTCTATTTGTATTGTTCTCTCCATAACCTTTCTCATTACCATAGGATCAAGCAAAAAGCACCAATGTAAAGTCAGTGCTGAAATGGATAATATTCTCTAAAAAACTGCAAATGCTTTGCAGATAACAGCTACTGAAAAATCTGTTTGCTGACTACTGTGTTGTGATGCTTTAAGAAGCCACTAAGTTGGAAAAGGATAGTGATAATGGCTGCACAACCCAAAGAATGTAATCAATGTCACTGCATTGTAAATGCAGAAATTGTTGTATTGGCAAATGTTTTGGTGTATATATTTTCACAATAATGGGAAAAAAAAGAAAGAAAGAACCACTAAGGGAAAGCCAGGGCTCACTGATAAACATCTCCTCAGCATTTAGCAGTTCTACAATACATTCCTGGTAAAATCTAAGGCTAAACTAAGGATCATCTACTTTTAGGGAAAATACAGGTATTCCAAAAAGGAGTGATAAGTGGTTAATGTCTGGTTTATTCAGGAGGAGAGGGAGTGGGCAAGTGGCACTTTAATTCCATCTTTCATAAAAAATGTCCCGTCCATTCCATACACCTTCCCCGCCACCCAACACACGTACCACCAATTAGAAAGTCATTTCCAATAGCGGATTTTATTTTTAAATTGCACAGACCTCTAGGGAGAATTAAGCCTATCAGTTATTCACATCTTAGTGGGACTAACTTTCATTCCACCACAAAATCCTTGAGGCCTGGGACCTCAGTTTTCCCTTTGTTAGCACTGAAAATGAGGAAAGAATTAAAGTGTGCCAGTTACAATGACTGCAGACAGTAGTATAAAAATAGGCAATGTGGGTTTGCCAAAATGTTCTGTTATCATTTCTGTCAATTAGACTAAACTATGAAGGAACAGCTAAACGAAGGAACATAAATAGAACTTCAATACTTTCCATTTGAAAATACTCCAGAATAACAGCCATTTCTTTCCTATTTGTTCTCCTATGCAATCAATCTCATCGGTTCTCACATCCATCCACTTTTTGAAAATAAAAGCTTCAGAAGTTACATAAAAAGCTTTACTTAGATAACTACCTCTCTAAAAAGAAATACTGTTAAGTGTGGATGGTAAGAATCAGTTTCTCTTCCCAGTGGAAATAACAATACATCTTAATTCACCAAAAATTATGGCCATGCTTGTTACTAAAAACTAAAATTTATTTCTGATCAGTTATAGTTATGACATAAATGCAAAGTACTAAACTGGGTTTTATAAAACTAATTATAAAAAATCATTTGTGAATTATTATGGCATAGAGCAATATGGGAAGCATACAGATAAATATTTTGTAAATTTTTCCTGTGGCTGAAACGGATGTTAACAGAGGAACATATGTGACAGGACAAGTCAGAATGGTCACTAAGTTTTAACAGTCTTCATGACGGTTCTGGGTCCCAGATTAGATATTTAAAGAATGTTTACACATGTATAATACCAAATAGCAGAAAGATTTCTGAATCTAAGACAGCTTTCTCCAACAGAGAAAAACAGAAAAGGGGCATTACTTTTTATTAAATTATTTTTGTAGAAGTAGACAAAATAGACAAACTCTGTTATTTGAAAACATGACTACAAAATATTTTAATACAAATACTACCTATATCCCCCATTTTACTCATGTGATTCAGAATAAACTGTCAGGCACTCTAAATATTATTTGTATAAGAGTATTAATAAATTTTAGAGTATTTGTATAGGAAAATACTTGGAAGAGAAAAAATCTGTAGAATTTGGGTAAAAAAAGGATGCAGATAATATGCTTCCTAGATACAGTTAGAATTTTAACTTGACTGTACAGCTTTCAGTTTATCTATGTATAATCAAAGAGCAGAATTTTTTTTTTTAATAATGTAGATTATCCATGACTTTTCATGGTAGGAAACACTTAAAGATAATACAAAGAAGTTTATAAAAAAAAAACCTAGTAATAATTTCAAGAAGCCAGCTATGTTCTAGAATGGTACCCTTAAGCAATTTCTTTTATTGCTCTTTTGAATGCTTTATAAGGAACTTCTTCAAGATCTAGGTGATCTTCTAGATCACCAGGGGAAACATCATAACACAATGTAGAAGTTCCTCAAATTTCTCCCTTGTTCCGTTATTCTGAATTCCTTCTCCAAAGCATATCATCTTCCCTAAATTAACTTGGGTGTGAAGTCTCATGATTCATGGTCACCCTTAAACAGCCATTCTAAATTCCAGAGTCAAAAAACAACAAAGTTTTTTTTGAAGGTTCCATGCCTCTATACATCCTGCTGAAGATTTAACACCGTAACAGTTGATCCTATAGTTAGTTCATTTCTACCAATCCCCACCGTACCTTGCTGGTGCAGTTATCCTACAGATGAAAGCATTTAAAGGAGAGAACAAGAACACAGCATAAGCCTCCTAACAGAAAATAATACTGTTTAAATTTAAGTCATAGTTGAACATGATTTCTCAGAGATTAGCAAGAACGTATTTAATTCTTTTTAGGGACTCAAATGAGGTATTAAACTAAATCAGAACACACAATGACTAAAACTTCCTCAAGTTTCTAACCTAAATAATGAAGCCCTTTATATAAAAATTGTTTCAGCCTTATTCTTCCACTGTTAAGGAACAGAAGGAAAGAACGGACTATTTTTTAAATTATTTCTAAAATTCTGGCCCCCAAATGAACAGCATTGACCCAAGTCAAATTGCTCAAAAACTCCAAAGGTACTGTATCCTACTTAGAAAAGACCACTATAGGAAAAGAATTCGCAAGGAAACCTGTTGTTGAGTTGATTCTGACTCATGGCAACTCCATGTGTGCAGAGCAGAACTGTTCCATAGGATTTTCAAGGCTGTGACCTTCAAGAAGTAGATCACCAGGTCTGTCTTCTAAGGCACCTCTGGATGAGTTTGAACTACCAACCTTTCGGCTAGTAGTTGAGCGCTTAACTGTTTGTGCCACCCAGGGACTCATACACAATGAATACACTTGGTTTTTGTGTTGTTGTTGTTAGGTTTTTGTGGAGATATGAAAAAACGCTCAAAAGAGTAGTCAAATCTTAGGTCTCTGCTCTCACATTCAGATCTATATTTACTTTCATTCTCTTTAATCTCTTTTACTTTCAGTACAAAGTGTGTTATGTCTAGCATCTTATCTGCGAAGTTCTAAAAGGAGAATGGCAAGATTACATAAAAGGGCTGAAAAAGGACAACCTTCATAAACAAACCTAAAATATCAAGTATATTTGCTGAACAGACACATTTCTCTTATAATGTACTATAAAACTTACCACTTCTGCCAAGGCTGAAATGACTTTGCCCAAAGTTGTAAGAGACTTATTAATATTTGCTCCTTCCTAAAAATAAAAACCACATGAAAATATTATGATAAAGAATTTCTACTACTGCCACATCATATACAATACATAAAACACAATTAGCCATATGCTCACATTATTTGTTAATTATGACCAAAAGTTCCCAGGGAACTCCTTTAATACTCTTATCTTTCCCCTCCACTTGATGACATGCCAGGACCACATACCTAATTCACAGGCCTAAAGTATCTTCAAGATGTTTGTGCAACCTTCTCTCACAACTCAGCAACATACAATTTCTGCTTTTGTTAAGCAATTATCTCTAGAAAAGTCCATGCTTTTCCTCACATCCAGATCTTTTGTATCCTGTTCCCATTACTGTCTCTAACTTTCATCTAGTCAAATTCCGCCTCGTCCTCAAAATCCAATTCAATTCTCACCTTTTCCATGAAGCCCTCTCTAACTATTCTGTTATACAACTTATCTTTTCACTGAAGTTATAGATCAGAAACCAGCAAATTTTTTCCATAAAGGGCCAGACAGTAAGTATTTTAGGTTTTGCAGGCCATATGGTCTCTGTTGTAACTACTCAACTCTGACACTGCAGCACAAAAACAGCCACAGACAATACATAAACTAATGGGTGTAGCTGTGTCTCAATAACATTTTATTTACAAAAACAGGCAGTGGGCTAGACTGGCCCACAGGCCGTAGTTTGCTGACCCCTGTTACAGAACATTTATTGACTACGCCATTTATCTGGTAAAATTAATACCTTTAATCGAGTCCCTTTGGCACCAGTTGAATCAGCCCGTTCACTTCCTGCTAGATCCACCAAGCTGATTTTACTGACCTGGTAAACAACGGTAACATTGGGACAATTAAAAAATAAGCAAGGTAGAAGTAGAAAACATTTAAAGGCAGGAAATTAAAAGATTAAGGTATTGAGAGGACTGAAAAAAGTTAGAGCTCTTAAATATGGCATAAACCCGTTGGCGTCAAGTTGATTCCGACTCATATTGACCCTATAGGACATGGTGGAATTGCCCTACAGGGTTTCCAAGGAGCGGCTGGTGGATTTGAACTGCCAACCTTTTGGTTAGCAGCTGAATGCTTAACCACTGTGCCACCACGGCTCCAAATATTAGGAAGACAAAAAATATACTCTGGTCAGTTTAAAGAGTATACACAAGGTACACACCAATATCTTGGTTCAAAAACCAAACCAAACCCATTGCCGTTGAGTTGACTCTGCCTCACAGTGAACCTACAGGACAGAGGAGAACTGCCCCGTAGGGTTTCCAAGGAGTGGCTGGTGGATGTAAACTGCTGCCTTTTTGGTTAGCAGCCAAATTAGTTTTAGGATAAATATGATCTACATTACTACAGTACATTATGTTGTTGTTGTTGTATGCTATCAAGTCATCTTTCTACCCATAACAACCCCATGTGACAGAATAGAACTGCCTCACAGGGTTTTCTTGGCTATAATCTTTACGGAAGCATATCTCCAGGCCTTTCTCCTGCAGAGCTGCTGGGTAGGTTCGAACTGCCAACCTTTCGGTTAGCAGCCGAGCACTTAACCATTTGCGCCACCAGGGCTCCTTACAGTATGTTATAAAAATATATAAAATTCATCAACCCATTAAATGATAGATTAAAACTTAAGCTTCGAGTAACTGGAACTCCCAATGACTGCTGGTAGGACTGTAAAACGGTACACAATCACTCCTATGGATAACCAGTTTGGCAGTTCTTAAGAAGTTAAACATAACATACACCTACCACATGACTCAGCCATCCTACTCCAAGGTTTATACCAAGAGAAGTGAAAACATTTATCCACATAAGGACTTGTACACAATTTTCAATGCAGCTTCATTTCCAATAATCAAAAACTGGAAACAATTCAAATGTCCATCAACAGGTGAACTGATAAGCAAACTGTAGTATATCTATACAATGGAATACCAGTCAGTAAGTATTCCATATAAGGAACTACTGATACATACAACAAAACATACGAATCTCAAAATCATTATGCTGAGTGAAAGAAGCCAGGTCAATAATACATTTCACTTATATAAAATTCTGGGGAATGTAAAATAATCTATAATGACAAAAAACAGGTCATTGCCTGGAGGTGGGGGTGGGAGGAGGGACGGGTAGATTACAAATCGGCATGAGGCAATTTTTCAGGGTAATGGAAATGCTCATTATCCTGATTGTGGTACTGGTTTACAGGTGCAAACAGATGTCAAACTGATCAAATCTTGCACTTTAAATATGTGTAGATTATTGTACTTCAATAATATCTCAATAAAGCTATAAAAAAACAAAGCTTTAGAAAAAATTCGACAAAATTATCCATAATGGGTTATCAAAGAAACTAGTGCTATGGGATTAGTATCTTGAATTTTCCAGGCTTGACGTTATGGGAGATGAGCAAAAATGCTTTCACATAGACTGTTCTTGATGTCCCTCACACAAAGAATGGTGACTACTAAACAGCGCTCATATCGTAATTTCTGGCAAAGCAGTGCCAAGTTATCTGACCACCTAATGAGGAGTATATGTTTCCCCACTTTTAATAACTTTATTTTTTAGAACAGTTTTAGATTTACAGAAAAATTGTGCAGAAAGTACAAAGAGTTCCCATATACCCCTCTTGCCCCTGCACACTGTCTCTCCTATCATTAACATCTTGCATTCATATGGTACGTTTGTTACAACCGATGAACCAATACCGGCTACCCTGGAGTTGATTCGGACTTATAATGACCCTACAGGGCAGAGGAGAACTGCCCCATAGGGCTTCCAAGGCTGTAATCTTTACGGAAGCAGATTGCCAAATCTTTCTCCCATGGAGTGCCTGGTTGGTTTGAACCACCAACCTTTTGGTTACCAGTTGAGCGCTTAACCACTGTGCCGCCAGGGCTCCTGATGAACAATACTGATACATTATTAACTGAAGTCCATAGTTTACATCAGGGTTCACTCTGTGTTGTACAGTCCTACGGGTTTTGACAAATGTATGTCATGTATCCACCATTACAGTATCATAAATAGCTTTACTGCCCTAAAAATGCCCTGTGCTCCATCTATTCACCATTCCTCCTGAGCCCCTAGTAACCACCCATCTTTTTACTGCCTCTATACTTTTGCCTCTTCTAGAACGTCACATACCTGGAATCATATAGTAAGTAGCTTTTTCAGACTGGCTTCTTTCACTTGCAATATGCACTTAAGGTTCCTTCCTATCTTTCTTTTCCTGGCTTGCGAACTCATTTGTTTTTATCTCTGAAAAATACTCCACTGTATGGATGTACCACAGTAGGTTTATCCATTCACCTTTTGGAGGATATCTTGGTACTTCCAGGTTTGGGTGATTATGAATAAAGCTACTCTAAACTTTCATGTGTAAGTATTTATGTAGACATACATTTTCATCCAGCACACATGCTGGATTATATGGTAAGCCTATGTTCAGCTTCGTAAGAAACTGTCAGACTGTCTTCCGAAGTGGCTCTACCATTTTGCATTCCCACCAACAATGAATGAGAGCTCCCACTGCTCTACATCCCATGAGATATATTCTTAAAAATAATTTTCAATTAAAGACAAAACTCATCAAGAAAGAGGTTAAGTCTAGTTCTTTGTGACATCAGTGTCATAATGTACTCAGAGGATCTTCTATAATTCCGGTATAATAAATCTAACTTCAGATTTAAAAATCTAGCTGCATACTAATTAGTAAAGTAGGCAAGGTAGAACGCAACATAAATTTATTATGAACAATAACAACAATAAAACTAACATTTACTGAGTGGCTACTCTGTGGCAGGCACTATTATATGCACTTAATTTATAATAATATTTGATCTTTTTAACAATCTTATGAGGTTGGAAGTTTCAGTCCACCCAGAAGTGCCTCGGAAAAAAGGCCTGGAGATCTTCTTCCCAAAAATCAATCACTGAAAACCCTACAGAACACAGTTCTACTCTGACACACATGGGGTTGCCATGAGTCAGAGTCGATTCAAGGGCAACTGGTTTAGTTTTTTGGTTTTGAGGTTGTTACAGATGGGAAAAACCAAAGCACAAAGAGGTTAAGTAACCTGCCAAAGGTAAGACCGCAAAAAAGCAGCAGAGCTAGAATTCAAAGCAAGCAGTCTAATTCAAGAGTCCGCAATATTTAACCACTATAGAAAATGAGAAATTAAGAAGCAAAATTATTTGAAGAGCACCAGAACTGCTGTGCACTTATTTATTTTCCAGGAATAAAATGTATCATGCGTGCTTAATCCCATGGTAACATTATCATACCTCAAAAAAAATAAATTACACACAGCAAACAAGGCTTGTTGTTAGGTGCCATTGAGTTGATTTCTACTCACAGCAACCTTACGTACAACAAAACTAAACACTGCCCAGTCCTGCACCATCCTCACAATCCTTGTTATGCTTGAGCCCACTGTTGCAGTTACTGTGTCAATCCATCTCATTGAGGGTCCTCTTTTTCACCGACCCTTTACTTTACCAAGCATGATGTCCTTCTCCAGGGACTGATCCCTCCTGATAACATGTCCAAAATATGTGAGACAAAGTCTCACCATCCTTGCTTCTAAGGAGCATTCTGGCTGTACTTCTTCCAAGACAGATCTGTTCGTTCTTTTGGCAGTCCATAGTATATTCAGTATTCTTCACCAACACCATAATTCAAAGGCATCAATCTTCTTCAGTCTTCCTTATTCACTGTCCAGCTTTCTCATGCACATGAGGCGACTGAAAACACCATGGCTTGGATCAGGTGTACCTTAGTCCGTAAAGTGACATCTTTGCTTTTTAACACTTTAAAGAGGTCTTTTGCAACAGATTTGCCCAATGTAATATGTCGTTTGATTTCTTGACTGCTGTTTCCATAGGCGTTGACTGTGGATCCAAGTAAAATGAGATCCTTGACAACTTCAATCCTTTCTCAATTTATCGTAATGTTGTTTACTGGTTCAGCTGTGAGGATTTTTGTTTTCTTTATGTTGAGGTGTAATCCATACTGAAGGTTGTGGTCTTTGATGTTCATCAGTAACTGCTTCAAGTTCTCTTCGCTTTCAGCAAGCAAGGTTGTGTCATCTGCATTACACAGGTTGTTAACGAGTGTTCCTCCAATCCTGATGCCCCGTTCTTCTTCATATAGTCCAGCTTCACAAATTATGTGCTCAGTATACAGACTAAGTATGGTGAAAAGATACAACCCTGACACACACCTTTCCTGACTTTAAATCACACAGTATCCCCTTGTTCTCTTCAAATGACTGCCTCTTGATCTATGTACAGGTTCCTCATAAGCACAATTAAGTGTTCTGGAATCTCCATTCTTTGCAATGGTATCCATAATTTGTTATGATCCACACAGTCGAATGCCTGTGCACAGTCAATAAAACACAGGTATACATTTTTCTGGTATTCTCTGCTTTCAGTCAGGATCCATCTGACATCAGCGATGATATCCCTCATTCCACGTCCTCTTCTGAATTCAGCCTGAATTTCTGGTAGTTCCCTGTGGATGTACTATGCAACCACTTTTGAATGATCTTAGCAAAATTTTACTTGCCTGTGATATTAACTATATTGTTTGATAATTTCCACATGCAGTTGGATCACCTTTCTTTGTAATAGCTGTAAATACAGATCTCTTTCAGTTGGTTGGCCAGGTAGCTGTCTTCCAGATTTCTTGGCATAGACAAGTGAGTATTTCCAGTCCTGCATCCGTTTGTGGAAACATCTCAGTTGGTACTCCGTCAATTCCTGGAGCCTTGTTTTTCGCTAGTGCCTCCAGTGCAGCTTGGACTTCTTCCTTCAGTACCATTGGTTCTTGATCATATGCTACCTTCTGAAATGAGAGAACACCAGCCAATTCTTTTTGGTACAGTGACTCTGTGTATTCCTTCCATCTTCTTTTGATGCTTCCTGCATAATTTCAGTATCTTGCCCATAGAATCCTTTGCTATTGCAACTCGAGGCTTGAATTTTTTCTTCAGTTCTTTCAGCTTGAGAAATGCCAAGTGTGTTCTTCCCTTTTGGTTTTCTGTCTCCAGGTGTTTGCACATGTCATTATGATACTTTACTTTGTCTTCTCGAGCTGCCCTTTGAAATCTTCTGTTCAGTTCTTTTACTTCATCATTTCTTCCGTTCGCTTTAGCTACTTGATGTTCAAGAGGAAGTTTCAGAGTCTCTCTGACATCCATTTTGGTCTTTTCTTTTTTTCCTGTCTTTTTAACAAGGCTAATAAGGTAATAACTAAGAGGTTCCAGTCAAGAAGAAGAAAAGGAAGTTCTCTCTAAAGAAATGCTCATCAACTCTCTTGCACAGAGGAGTTCTGAGACTCTCTAAAGAACTGCTTATCAATTCTCTTGCATAGAGTAGTTTTGACACCCAAGATCGTGGATTGTTTTTTCTTAAGTCTGTTTTCTATCTTGTAATTTCACATCAGAATGCCTATTCAAAACTGGTTTAAAGTAAAAGAAAAAGTGATAAGCAGAAGCTATAGAACACCCTCCATAAAGTAAAACAGTAACCTTCCTCCCCTCCACAAAATGCAGAGGGCAGCGAGAGGGACTTTTGAAAATCCTCACCCATCACAACTCACACCCAAGGACTGAAATTCTCCTACCTTCTCAGTGGAAAGGTTGGTGTCAGTGTCCTGTTTCTTCTGGGTGAAAACAATGGTAAACACAGCATGGGAGCGGCTACTTGTTTCATTCATGTTGGTAGCTGCCACTGTCCTAAATAAACATAAAGGTGACCACGTGACAATGGAATTCACAGATGAAGGTTAAAATGGACAGTGAGCTCCACATTATAAGCGTAACAATCACAGCAACAGCTTTAAACTTATTCACAGATTGCAAGATTGTCACACTATTTCTCTTAATACTGCCTTGTTTGTGAGCCTTTCAAGTTCCTCTTCCATTCCAAAGGCACCCCATCCCAATCAGGTTTCATACTCCAGCTGTCCCTTTAGGAACCACCAATGCATTTAATTTTGATTCTTTATTAGGTGCTCATTTATTCCACAATCAACTACTGTAACAGTCATACACAGACATGATGACTAACATTTTACCATGAATCAATGGAAATCTAAGAATGAAACTTAACCAAAGTTCTAATATGTTTCAGTAACACACTATTTTGATGAGAAGAAAGATACCTAACATAATGAAGCCTTCAGCCCTCTAGTATAGCCAAAGGATCAGAGGACTCCACGATTAGAGCAACCTTGGTAGCTATAAATGTGGTCTCAAACCCCTAACAGGGAACAAAGGGCCTCAAATTGTGCCAAAGACCTTAGTCATTAATCTATTTCCTACCATACCTGGCTTTGTTCCCAGCATCCATGAGGTCAGCGATGTCTGTGTAGGAAGTGACCGCCAGCTTTGACAAATCCTCCACATACGGTCCAAGAAGTGGGTGTTCACGCACACGCAAATTACCCTTGTTTTTTGGATTCAGCAAATCTCGTACTCTCTCACAGTAAATTTCCATATAGCTTACCTAGGAACAAATTATTAAAGAGAACTAGAGGACTTACAAAAAAAATCCCACACATGAAAAAGATTTTTAAAAACTTTTTTTAAAAGCTGTACAATTAGAGATTGGCAACCTTTACCAAGTGAAATGTCCTACTTCTAGCTCCTTTTATTCTGTGAACACAGATATCACACTGTGTAGGCTAGAGCCAATCCTCTGATCTTCTCAGGGAAGAAAAGGAGCTAAACAGGCTATCTCTGGCACATAGTGGCTGCCACTGTCTTAGGCAGAAAAATATTGTTTTTCATAGCAACTTATCAGCTATCAGTGTGTTTGTAAAAATGCACATTGTTTTCAGTAATTGGGGATTACAGTGAGATTTCCCAAAGAGCTTAGAAATAAGACTTCTATCAGAGTTAAAACTAAAATAAGATCAATATTCCAAAGCAGGGAAGACAAAAGAAACCAGTGACTCTAATACTTTGAGAATGATCACAGTGTGACTGAACGTGGACAACGTCTCCACTAGAAGGGATGAGGGCTGATCGGCATGGAAGGTGATTTTGACAAGACCTATCCAAGCCTTGGGGAACAGAAAGAGCCTCAGACAAAACACTTCAGGAATTCTTGTCCTATCAGCAGGACCATTCCTATCACAGAGATGAATACATTAGGTTATCATTTCTAACCTGAGGTAATTAAACATTTAATTCACTTAATCAACTCCCCTCCCTCTAATTCTATGCTCACCCAACAACCAAAAGGGTTCCAATATAGGTCTGCCCACAGGAACAGACTACACTAATTTGCTTATGTGAGTGTTCCGGTATGGGTAATACTTATGAAAAGTTAACAAACCAACATTCTGGTTTCATCACATCAGTTGAATGAGCTTCACTCAAGAGACTGACTTTGAAGGATGGTTCTGTTCCCAATGTAGCTATAAAATCGGACCTTAAGCAAGCAAGGCTGTGAACTGAGACAAATTCACCACAGCAATCATACTCTTCTGTATCCACTGAGCTATTCAAGCATACAGTATAATTTCTACATTTTTCAATTTTGAACTTCTATAGACATATTTTCAGAGGATCAGAGACAGAATCTTATCCCCATTTTTTTTTTTTTGCCTTTTCACTCAGTCTCTGATCTATCTGATGAAATATATTTTTATACTGTACTTTAAAATCAGTTAAATAAAATTTTTTTTGTGAACCCTGAAAGACTCACTGCAGGAGTAAAACAATAGGACAACAAATATTCTTAAATATTCTTTCCAACTGCAGGTCATCCTAGAAGGTGAGGTTTTACTTTAATCATTCTTGTGCATTTAAACTTGTACTTCTAATCCTGAATCCCAGGAAGATATATCTTCTTAGAAAACTTGCCCCTTTTCACACAAGGTGTAAGACTAAAGAGGCTAAAGGCTGATGTGCTCCATTACTTATCCTCTAATATGTAAATCCATCCAAAGCCATCACTATTTCTTTTACCTCTGAACCAATCGTTACAGCTCCTCCGTGGCCAAATCAATTCACTGACCACTGATATCTTCCAGGCACAGTTCTAGGCACCTGGCATGCACCAATATATAAAACAGACACAGCTCCCTTCCCTAGTGGGCTTATGTTCTAGCAAGTGAGACTGGCAATAAACATTAAAAAAAATTAAATTATATACTATATTACAATGCGACGAATACTATGGAAAAAAGAAAAATAGAACAGGACAAGAGAGATGAGAAGACCTGCGATGGAGGGCAAGAAGTGGTATTAAACAAGGTGGTCAAGGTAAGCCTCATTGAGAGAGTGAGATATGGGCAAAAACTTGACAGAGGTGAGAAACTTAGTCAAGGAGCTATCCAGGGGAAGAAAGTTTCAGGCAAAGGAAACAGTAAATGCAAAGGCCTGAGGCAGGGATGTTCTTGATATATTTGAGAAAGAAAGCCACTGTGGCTAGAGCAGAGTGAATAAGGTGAGAAAAGAAGAAGAGGTAAGGGAGGTCCCACAAGGGATCTACACTGAAATCCAAATAAGCCTGTGAACTCTAACATGAAAGAAAATGGCATCTTATTTTATTACCCATAAGAGCTCAATATTTCTATCTTGTGATTTTTTAAAAACGGTTATAGGACAAAATAAGCTATTTAGAGAATTCATTTTAACACAAAATATCTTTAGAGCAGCATGTTCCCCTATTGGAGGATGATAGTTGCAAGGCAGAATTCTTTAAAATTTATAAATTTATGGAACATTGTTTACAGGTAATGAAAAAGACCCAAAGCAGCTAAGGAATTGTAAAGTTCTATTAAAAATTCACAATACATAACCTCAAAAATAAATAATCTAGAGCTTGCTTAAAAGACAGCTAAATTTCTGAGAACAGGCTCATGTTGACAGAATTTCAGTTACTAATAATTTTAGTTACTATGAAACTGAATACCAAAAGAGGGGGGCTGAAATGACAGCTTCATAAGACACACACAAAAGAGAGGAAATGTTTATGAAATAAACTAATGTATATAAGCAATTCTGTAGACATCTTATTGAAAAAGCCAAGGTAAACACTGGGTGGAAAATAACTTTCCAAGTTTATAAGCAATTATAAGGGGGAAGAAGGGATTGATTACATAAATGTTTAAGAAACTAGGCCTGTCAAAAAAATTATTAACAATATTAAAGGGGAAGAGTTCACACAAATGAATAAAAACATTGAGCACCCAAAACATAAAAAGGCACATGCAAAATTTAAAAGACGTTCAACCATACTAACAATCCAAGAAACGAAAATTTAAGCAAGAGTGAGAAATTTTCAAATTGGCAAAGATAAAAAAAGTTAATACTAAATGTTGGCAGGAGTACAATGGGTGTTTACACCCTCCTGGTGGGACTGAAAATCAGTATAGCCTTTCTTTCTAAAAGGCCACTTGGCAATCCAAATTTATTGTTTAACAACCAGGATACATACAAAGGAAATAACTGAAAATAAAGGCATAGACTTATTAACAAGGATTTAATTGCAATATGATTCATTAAAACTAAAACTTAGAAATAGTCTAAACACACAAAATTAGGAGAATGGTTAAGTGATCTGTAGCAGTCACAATCTGACGCCATTTACAAGTAATGTTTAAGGGAATGGAGTGCAGAGACCTCTGATTTCAATCCTGAGTTGTACTCACCTCGACAGAGTAAGACATTTCTTCATTACAATTGTCATTGATTTTCTCAAATAGTTCTTCACATAACTACAGAAGCAAAACAAGAGAGGTGTGAATATCACAAATCAGAGAAGTACTAAGTTACCCATGAATGTGAAGTAACTTAGTGAGAGCCCCCCCCTCAAAATATTAATAGCATCAACACCAAGGTATAATTAATGCTTCAAACAAAATAAAAGGAAAACTGTGAATACAGTCCTCTCATCTAATCTTTCTTCTCCCTCAGCAATAGTACCTCTCAATATTGTTTCCTCAGAGAAGGAAAGCCATATTTGAGGAAAGAGGGAAAATTATGTCTCTTACAAGGGAGTTATGTCATTGGCACATTTAAATTTATGTGGATTCAATCTTTCATACTGTACTAGGGTAATTGTGACTCTACTATCAACATTATAATTGTAGCAGTAAAACTACTATTAAACCATATTTTACACACGCAGGTTATTTATCATGTTATATAAGATTTATTATTATACACTGTCAGTTACTATATACATTATAAACTTGGGGAGGGGAACTGAAGGAATTTTGAAGAATTATTTCGACTCTAGAAAATATTGCTTTTACCACTATCTTTAGATTCCAGCCTGTATAGGAGATACTACACCACTACACAGTGACATTTCTAACAGAAAACATTAATTGTTCTAGATCAGGAAAACTATAAAATATCATGCTCCCTACCCCTTGAACTTATTTAAAATATGTGATATTTTAATAAAAACAATTAATAAAAATCTCCTGAGTTTTCATTTGCTATAGCTTTAGGATCAAAGCAATCAATATATATTTTGAAAATGAACTATATGTTCATAATTCTCTAGAAGCCTAAATATAATTTAAAATTTATTACAAATAAACTTTCTGAATAATAAATCATCTTTTTGAGAAACCATGCTTTTGCATAGAAAGAAAGTATTCCAAAGTTCTACCAGAAAAGAGATATATATGTAATTATCAAGAACTCTAATAACAAACAAATTTAAATTAAGGGGAAAGGAAGGAGAAACCAAGTGTGGTAATAGGATTAAACAAATAAGGTAATTGAGCATAATCTGCTATTATCTGCCAACAATTATGTTATTGTTGAAGAACTACTGCATACTGGCAGAGTAAAGACTTCAGAATGACCTTGTCTACGTCTGGATTCTGGCTTGGCATTTACTTAGGTAAGTGACATGACCTGTGCCTCAGTTTCCTCATCTGTAAAACAGGGGTAACAATAGCACCTACCTCTTACGGTTATATGAGGATTAGATGAACTAACATTTGCAAAGCACTTAAACCTGTGCTTGGCACACAGTGAGTGCTACATAACGTTTTCTCTAAATAGTATTATAGTTATTATTAGTATATACAAAAGACAATTGCCAAAATGTCTTAAACACTTAATTACAGGAAAAAAATGTATGCTAGTACGTGCAATGTTTTTCTGAAAATTTCCTAGCATTTATTAACAATCAAGCATTTAAATTATATAGCTGAATTTAAGATTATAGCACAATAACCCATTAGAAAAAGTAGCTACTGTCCCTTACATATTTTATTCTCAGAATATAGAGATAGTGGCACTATGCCTATGGTTAAAAAAAAAAAAAAAAAAACTGTAAAATTAACTCCAAGTATAGTTAAATAAGAGTGAACTACACTTCTGTTTTTAACAAAGGAAGTTCCTCCTAAATACTCATGTCAGAACTCTTCTCCATTCCCAAAGAATATAAGAACAAAAGAAATAATACTAACTGCTCTTAAAAAGGGAAATCTCAGGCTATATAAAGTTTAAAGTCCTAGTATTAAGTTAGTAAGACAAAAGGAAAGTTAATATTAAGCTAATGAGATAACAGGAAAGTATCTCTGAAAGACATCTTATGTACATCACGTCTCAAATGTTTTACTCTCTTTAGTAAGAAAAGTTACTTAGCTTTTTATAAATGTCTCATGAGATTAAGCTTCTACTATTTAATAAATATCACAGACATCTTTCATAGATTCAGAAGCTGGTAACACTTTACAAAAAATAAAATAATGTGACACTGGGTATACGGCACAATCTTTATCAAGTATTAATTTTCCTGCCTTTAGAGACAGCTGTACACATGTCCACCTCTCCCACTAGACTCTAAGCTCCTCCGAGGGAAAGGGACAGATTATTCACCTTTGTGTCTTCCATACAACAGTCCCTGAATAAATGTTTGCTATATAAAAAATAACTGTTAAAGTAATTTAAGACTAAGAGTAATGATGAACAGAAGAGTTTTTTTGTTGTTTTATTTTTTACCTGTGGAATGATGCCAGCTTGGCTTTCTTCTTGTTTACCCATCATTGTGTAAGATTTCCCAGCACCAGTCTGTCCATAGGCAAAAATACAGACATTGTATCCCTCAAAGGCATGTAAGAGCATTTCCTTTCCAATGTCATTGTACACACGGTTTTGAGATGCAAAACAGGGATCTTCGGGCTGTAACGTTAAAAGGACAAATAAATCACATTTTATTCAAATCCTTTCCTATACTTATTTGGTAGCCTCTATAATAAACCAACAGTGTTTGGAAACATAATAGTCACCTAAAATATACTATAAAATTTTAAAATCCCCTCTACATAGTTTATTTTTCTTGTTAAACACTAATTCTCTCTCTCTCTCTCACACACACACACACACACACACAGGCACTATTAGAGTCATCAAGGTCAGTCATACATACGTAAAAATATCCACATGAAATTATCTGGCAAGACTGCACTTCATTTTCTGTAACTTTAGAAGTATCACTCTTCCATTCACTCTTCTTGGGAACTCCAAGAAGATTTTCCTAAGTGGAAAGTCAAGAGTCTTTCTACTTAAAAAGATCAAAAGTCAAGTCTACATGTAAAAATACCTCTTTGAACTTGCTCCAGGTAGTGTGAGTACTTCCCAGTAAACCCAGTGCTCAGTAAGGGATGTTTCCAACCCCTTATACAGGCCCTTCCCTTGGCAATTAGGTTTTTTGCTAGCTTAAAACATCTCCTACTCCCCAACACAAAACAGGAGGAAAAATTTAAAAAAAAAGAAAGCTTAACATTTTTGGATGGATGATGCAGAAGTAAACTCTAGTTTAGGAACAATCTCTGGAAGCCAGTAAGATTTGGGGTCTTATATTGAATAAAGGAATCATGAAGGGCCGTACTCTCCATTCTCCCAGATTTTATAAACGTTTTTGTCTTCCTTGTGGACCTGCAGGCTCTCTCAAATTGTTCGAAAACTGCACCATTCTACTACCATTTAAATGAACAAATCTTTTCACTATGGTCACCCCAATCTTTCCAGTCATACTCTCTATACTTGTGCTCTCTATAACCTCAAAATTTAACTTACAATTAACAACATACTAAGCAATCTTTAATTTGGCAATTCCTAAGATTTATAAGCATAATAATGTTCATAACAAGAATCCTGAAATATTGATAAATAAATCCTGAAGGGATATCTAAATCACAGACTAAATTAGGTTCCATATAAATTTAGTATAAACCAAATCAGTTTTTTAAAATTTTGGTAAAAATACACACACCAATATGATAATTTCTACACTAAATCAGTTATATATGTATGTATATATGTATGTGTCTTTGTATATGTAACTTTCCATCAACCAAAATATTAAGGAAAACACTTCAGAAAGCATTCACTATATTAAAAAATGAACTATGACAGACCACATTTACAAACCAAGAATCAGATCTGCTCTGGTAATAGATCAGACCAAAAGGAAAGAGGAGGCAGAAGGTTTGCCAGTGGAGACTGCTGACAGCAGGGTGCACCATGAGCACACTCACCGAGGTATGAGACCAGTAGGAGTAGTCGAAGCTGAAGGACTTTGGAGCTTCCTTCGGGTTCTTTGGGTTAATAATACCTAGAGGATAAAATGTTTAATTTTATGTCACTCAGACACATATTCTTTAGTTCAACACGGCTGTTACATGTTCAAAACATCCCAATCAGTAAATTTATACCACTGAATCTGATAAAGGGCAAATGAAAAACAAAAGTAATCACATTCTTAAGAGGTGATCTTTATTTGGAACTTGAAAAAAAATCAGACCAACAACATTTACTGGGCATAACCAGGACTCAGAACAGAGCCTGGTACATAGTAGTTGCTCCATAAGTATTTTGTAACTGAATGTTTATCCTCCCTAGGTAAGTAAGTGGTCAAAATCTGGAGATGGGGCAGGTTACTGTTTCAGGGTGCCTTATAAGGCTTTGAAATATTTCAGCACATCAGAAAATAATAATAATAATAATAAACCTAGAAAATTACTGAATTACTCCAACCACTCTTTGAAACAAGCTCTTTTTTCTAATGAAAATATACATAACAAAATATACACCCTTTCTACAATTTTTACACGTACTGTTCACTGACAATGGTTACATGCTTCACATTGCGTCACCACTCTTCCTATCTCTAACCATATTGTTTTACCACCGCTCGCTTAGATTCTTTGCCCCTTGAAGTTTTCACCTGTGTTTTAGAGTTACTGTTGTCCATTTAATTTCATACAGATAATTTAAAAGAGTGCAATGCTCAGGATGAACATTTTTTATTAAATAAGTTGAACCGTTGTTTAAAGATGCCTTAATGGGACAGTTTCAGTTCAAGGCTTAAAAGCCGTGAAACAAACTCTCTTCAAAGATCTTATTATCTACTTCAAAAAAGCATTTGGTAATGAAGTAGCCACTGGAAAGACAGTCCTAGTTCTAAAATCCACAGCTGATAATAACTAATGTATTACTACAGAATCATTATATATATATACATACATACATATACACACACACACATATATATACATATATATGGAATCACAGACTACTAATTGATCTGTAGGATGTTATAAACAGGAAAATTAAGTTTTGCCTGAAAAGCATGAACTCTTACTGCCCATATTAAAAGTGGTTTCTTGTGTAAATAACCCAGTCACACTATACTTCAGGGATTGACTTAGAATGCTGAGGCTTAACTTCTCTTCCTTTGTCATACATACAAAACTCTTGCTCTTCATATTTCACATGGAACAGCATCCATTATAACATGTGGTCATGAAATCTCCTCAAAGACTGGACATTGCAACCAATCTACTTCTCTAGGGCAGGGCCACATCCCAGGCTATCAGTGAGATCAGGATTAAAAAATAAATCTGTCTGGGACAGCTGCTGCTTAGGACACAAATAGCAACAGTTGCTACTGTGCTTAGTTCTCTTGCGGGATCGCTGGGTATGCCCAGACACTTACCTTCCAACCTCAAATGCTGACAGAGTATTAATAAGGTTCACATTGCACGTAATCATGTGACAAAGAGACATGGTTCTAGAAAGAACAGCTTTCCACACACAAATGGTAATCCAAGCAACAAAATGTACTTCTAACCAAAAGGCACTACATACAAGATTTAAATAACAGCCAACATGTAGGAAGCACTAACTCCAAGCTATAGGCACTTTCTGTGTACTAACTTATTTAATACTCCTAACTACGCAATGAGGCAGATGTTTTATTATTCCCATTTTACAGATAAAGAAACCATCACAGAGAAATTAAATAACCTACCCAGGCTACAGAGCTAGTGGCAGAGCCAGGATATGAATTTGGAGAGTTTGGCTCCAGAGCCCAGACTCTTAGTCAAGACACTCATCATTTAAATGTTTATTCCCTACATGCAGCAATTCCCAAAGCAAAACACAGGAAGGCATTTTTATGCATATGTATACGTATCATCAGGAACCCCGGTGGTGCAGTGGTTAAACATTTGGCTGCTAACCAAAAGATCAAGTTCCAATCTACCAGCTGCTCCTTAGAAACCCTATGGGGCAATTCTACCCTGTCCTATAGGGTCACTATGAGTCGGAACTGATTCGACGGCAATGGGTCTGGTTTGGTCTTATACGTATTATCACTCTCCTGAAATTATACCACAGACATTGTTTAAAACTCTCTTTACCATTTAAAACTGGGAACTATTAAGATTATAGTTTCTAAAAGATGAAAGACCACACAAACACACACTCAAAAACTCTACCAAGAAAATGGACATTTGAATCATACTACATCAGCCAGGTTCCAGGTTTTAGCGGGATCAGCGATAAAGACAATAACGAGATGGCAGGGTGTGACCTCTGAAGCAGTCTTTATCACTCAAAAACATGGTTAAAATAAACACTTTCAACTGCTAGAAAATGTGCTCTCATAAATCCTTTAAACCACGTTTCATTCACCCTTTTAGAAACTCACTGGTGGTACCAATTCTGCCAAGAACAACTTAAGAAAGGGCCATTTCTCAGATCCTATCCCTTTGTTCTCTCTTCCCTAATAAAGAAAAGAAACAAAAACTACACCAGAGAGTATCTTCTTTGATTCACATGAAATCATTTCCTCTTCCTCAATACTCCCCTCTCCCAGATCTCTGAAGCTTCTGAAACTGTTTTCCTAACTTCCAGCTTAGAAACCACGTTCTTTTTTAAACAATTGCCCTCTAGTCAACAACAAAAAACTTTTTAACATAAATAAGTAAATAAAAATATAATTTTAAGTATTAGTCTGGCCAAACAAGATTAAATTTATCTACAATATTTAAAAGATTTCAATTTCCAAATGAAAGATGTGTGTATGTGTGTGTATAAAAGACAACTTAGAACAATGCAAAATTCAGTATTATTGTTAGGTAGCAGTTATAGGGCTGCTTGTTTAATTTTATTCTTTATATTTACATATACATGGATTACCTAGAAGATACGAAATATTTCATAACAAAAAACTTTAAAACCCTTGAACTCTGCAAACAAAAAAAGATTCTTATAAAGATAAAATATTAATCACAGCATCTGAGCTCATCAGAACCTTCTAAAGCCCATGAACTCCACTATTACTTCTATGGACAATGAGTTACTGTTTTGAACTGTATCAAAAGATTTTTCTTTCTGAATTAATGCTTGATATTTAACTCACATCCTTTCACCCAACTAGGAAATAGGATGCTTCAAACCATTAAAACAAAAGGGAGTGGGGGCGGGTGAAGAAGCCCGGGACATGTAAAAGAAAGGGTACAGTATTTGGAATCCTAGGACCCACATCAGTATCTACATATTGGTATCTTTTTTAAACAATTAAGAAATACCGTATTTAGATTTTTTTGTGTGACCTTGGGTACTATTGAGCTTTCGTGACCTCTCTGGAGCCCTGGTGGTGCAGTGGTTAAGCACTTGGCTGCTAAGTGAAAAGTTGGTGGTTCCAACCCACCAGCCACTCCGTGATAGAAAGATGTGGCAGTCTGCTTCTGTAAGGATTATAGCCCTGGAAACCCTATGGGCCAATTTTACTCTGTCCTATAGGGTTGCTACGAGTCGGAATCGACTTGACAGCAACGAGTTTGGGTTTTTGGTATGGTGACCTCTCAGAAATTGAGGTAATACCTAGTTCACAGGATGAAATGAGTAAAGTACTATACAAATGTTAAATGTTTAAAAACAGGTATTCCATGGTCTTTAAGCCAAAGCAAGAAAAGTTCACTAATTGCTAAAGTAAGCTAAAGCTAAATCTAAAAATTTTATTTCTTGTCAAGAGTCAAAGTATTACAATGGTATGCCATCTAATCTCTGGTTCCCCTACCACATTATAAATTACTTATGTACATGGACCATGTCTTATGGAATTCTCTACACTGCCCTATACCTAACAGGCACTGGGATGAACGCCTTCCATATGTCATGTACAATTTTAATTTGATTAAATTCTGTATCATTTTAAGGAGCACAAAAATAAAAACCAAAACAAGGCATGCATGTACAATATACACATAAAATGTCAGATTTTATCAGCTTCCACAGACAGAATATAGAGAGAACTGTACTACCGAAAAGACTGGACAGTAATTTTTAACACAATGGTTCTTATGTCAAGGTCAACTGAGCTAAAATACAGTGTGTATGACTTCTACTGTTTCTCAGGAAGCATGCATAGAAGAGTGGAATTGAAGTAATTAATATGTTCCAACATATAAGCCATATTTTCACCGACATAAAAGCTGTTACAAATGTAGCATGCGTCCCCAGGTCACGCGTCATCAGCGTACTAGCTTTGTCTAGGACAAATCATCACTTTTCCTACAAGAAATGGACTCTAGGCTTTTTTTTTGAGGACTGAAGTCAGAACATCACTCTATTTTAAGCGTTCATTACCACCCTGGAGCCCTGGTGGTGCAGTGGTTAAGTGATATGACTGCTAACCAAAAGGTCGGCAGTTCAAATCCACCAGCCGCTCCTTGGAAATACTATGAGGCAGTTCTACTCTGTCCTCTAGGGTCACCATGAGTCAGAATCGACTCAATGGCAATGGGTTTACCACCCTAGTTCAAGCCACCATCTCTCTTACCTAGATTACTGTAATACCTCCTAATTGGTCTCCCTGCTTCTTCCCCCCACCCCTCCTTGGCCCCTGAAGAGTCTACTCTCTGCACCACAGGCAGTGATCCTTCTAAAATGTAAGCCGTACCATGTCTATGTCATGCCTCTATTGAAAACCTTCCAATGGCTTCCTATCACACGCTGAAAAAAATCTCATGAGGTTTTATAATTTGCCCCATCCCCCACTCCCTCTCTGACCTCATCCCCAAAGACTCACCCTTACTCCTCCACCACAGCCCCACGGGCCTTCTTATTAAATACACACTTTCATCTCAGGGCCTTTACAGTTACTACTCTACCAGGAATGCTCTTCTCCCAGAGATCTGAACAACCCACTCCCTAACTTCATTCAGGTTCTGTTCAAGCATCACTTTTTCAGAAGGCACTTTTCTGACCATCCTATTTAAAACCAGTACCTGCTGTCACTCTCCATCTTCTTACCCTGATTTATTT